GTATTGTTTGCTGCAATGAAAATGTTTGCAATTAAACAAAGTCATATGTTTAATGCCATTTTGTGAAACATTCCAGGCAAAGCAATAACATTTCCATAGAGACAAACAGACGTCAGACCCCCTATCGGAAAAGTTACATAGTACACCTTAACCAGCTATTTTTCTAGTCTTTTGTGCTCTGCAAAAAGAGATAAATCCTATCCCTTATAAATGCTGGTGAGCTTTAGCCCAAGCTGAGGAGGCAGGCACTGGCCCTGGCTCCCTGACAGGCTGGTCTCCAGGAGGACTCAGCCCTGGTCACTGTTGTAGCTTGTCTTTGGGGCATTTCTCATGGAGTGTGTCTGAGAGAAAGATAACACCACGTCACTGCGACTCATCCGTCTTCGTTTCCATGACGTTTTCTGCTGAATTCAATCTTCTGGGTGTGGGGGACGACACCAGGGTCATTCATCAAACTTGTACTTGTAAGTGTCTTCTTTGTCTTTGGCACTATAAATCACTGTCTATCTCTGTACTAGACCCACAAAGCAGGAGTCAGCTCAAGATAAATCTATCTACAAGTGACGTGCTGACGAACAACAAAATGGCTGTTTCTCTCCCAGTTTTAGAGAAAAATGGGGCTTTCTCAACACAGCAGAATAGGAATAGGAACTGTGAATAGGAAAGAAACTTAATTAATTATATAACTGTAAGTATAAGTTTCTGGTAATGCTTTCATATAAATATGGCATGTGTGAAAAAGGTCAAAATTGCACAAATCTGAAAAATAGCTAGTTTGAATTAAAATTTCTCACTTCATTTTGACATATTACATACAAAAAATGTATAAATACAAAGATCATTTTGTATATCTTATTTAGTATTTGAGTACACTTTAAAAAATTGCATAAATTTCACATATTGCTAAACACAAACAAATACTGAAAATAGTGAAAAGTTTGGTGCTACCTTGGTGATCCTTTTGTCCCCATGGAAGAAAAATAATTTTATACAATATCCCACAAAATTATATTGAATGGATGCAAGTTGAAATAAGTTGAAATAAAATATTAAAGTATCTTCAGGTGCAGATGGGACCATTTTCTTGTTTCCAGGTATCTACACATACATACTGAGAGAGCAAACAGACAAAAAAAAAAAAAAGAATAAAATAAAATTAAAAAATAAAAAATGTTTTGCCTGTATTGTCTTGTCTGAATAATAAAAGACTGGATTGAAACCAACTGTGCGTATACAAAAAGGCATGGGAAGGCACACACAAGTGCACATTAAGGCCGCATAGTTGATGAATAATTGCTGGAGGCAGTTAGGAAAGGACCTGTAGTGGAGTGATTCAACTGTGACACCAGGATTTTGCTTTCTGTGCACTTGGTTTTACTATTATGAGTAACAGGAGGAAGGGTGACGCAATACTGCAATTATACAACGCAGGGCAGGCTGTGCGGGGGGGCTGGTAGAAAAACAGCTGGAGGACACTGTTGACCTAAGGAACTAAGCCGAGAGATATTAGCAGACATATTTTATATTTAAGATATTTTTAAAATGTCTATTTTGGATTTTATAATAATTGCACAGAAAACTCACAAAAATATGCATTCTTACAATCAGCTGGGTCAACTCTCCTCAGATCTGACCTGTATCTTAGCCTAGTGCAGTCAACAGCTTGTCTCAGTGGAGCGATAAATAACTGGAACATTTCATTCAAAGCTATAAGATCTCCAAGACAAGCAGTATCTCAACTCCAGTCAAAATCAAATATTGTGTCTCTCCTTTTGCTATGTAGTCATATTTCATCCCATTGTGAGATGTGTTTGTTCCATTCACACATGTTGCCTATTTTTACTGAACTAAAGGTTAAAGGTAAAATGTAAAAGGTAAAAGGTAGCTGTTAACTTGCAAACGACAACTTTATTACATCATAGGTGGAACAGAGCATTATGAGTTTTTGAGATGTAGACACACTAATAATGCAGGGTTACCGTACTCAAATGTGTGAATGAAACAAAACACAACTCCAGGTATGTTTTTGAGGAGTCAATATGACTCAAAGCTCAGAGTCAATTGTATGTAATCTAGGCCTTTTAATTATATACAGTACAATAAATCAATAGACTAATACTGAATTGTACCAGTGATTGCTTCTGCTGATGCTGCCTAACAGTTTGGAGGAGACCGAAAATGTGCAGGTCCAGGAGTGAATGGGTTTGTTCACCTGCCCGAGGGACAGGAAGTAACTCATGTGTAACAGGTGTGCAGTGCCATCAAAACAAGGAATGCACAGTGTTAAGTCCTCAGTTGTGTCTCTAATTCAAAGACATAGACATAGGTCTAGCTTCACTGCAAATTTATGGTTCAAGGATATTGTTTTTGCATCTTTTTCCTTGTGGACGTTAAAAGGCACATTTTATGCTGTTTTGGATCTATGTTACAATGTTTTATAATTTCCTCATCACACACATACCTGGAGTTGTGTTTTATTTCATTTACACATGTGTAATACACAAACCTACCATATTTGGGCATTTCCACCTTGTGATGTCATGGTAAATAGAAAAAAGGAAACGCTCCACTGTGTTTTGATGATTTCAGCTCTGGAATTGCCAGCTTCTAATGAACAAAAGGTAAAAGAGCTGATAACTTGAAAACTAACGCTTCATGACATCACAAGGTTGAACAGAGCATTTTGAGTTTTTTTTTTTTTTTTTTTTTTTGATGAGGTAACAACATTAGAACATGGCTTAAAGATCACAACAGTCCATTCTGTGTAATATAGGAACTTTAAAGTGGATGCATACTTTTTGAATAATGTCTTTGTTTGGTGGGATAATATCTGGTTATAAACATATCTGCTTATGTTATATCTGCTGTCCATGTCCAACCTGAAAGTTTTTGTTCTTCAAAATCTTATGATCACATAATTATGTTAACTATATTTTAGTGAGTCTGTAGTGTAACCTGTCAAATCCACCTTAAATGAGCTGAAAGGGAGTCACAGGCCAAAAAAGCATGCATATGTTTTCAAGAATTATCTGTGACATAATAAAATTTGCACAAATCAAACACATGCTGGATGGAAAGAAGACATAGTGACATTAAAATTGTGTTGCTCTTAATTTAAAATCATTAAATCACTGCTAAATGCCTGAGCCAGCTGGCAAAATGGTTCAAACAAGAATAGAAGGTAGAGAAACTAGATGTGAAGTTTGTGTTTTCAGTCAAAAGATTAGGATCTCTTAACGCAACCCAGAGCAAATGGAGCATGCCTCACACACAGGGACGACTGAGCCCTTTGAATGTTCAAGATCATTACTTTTCTCCAACAAAGACATGCTTGGATAGTAACCACCTGCAAACATATGTGTGTATCAAGGTGAATGAGAAGAAATATATATTCTAGAGCTGTAGTCGACTGAAATTCTAGGTCGACTAAAGAAATGCCCTGACAACTAAAGAGTGGGAGTGACAAAAGCTGATCTGACAAGCATCTGAACAAAATTATAGATAACACCTGCATGGGAGTTCATACAAAAAGAACCATTTATGCAGTAAAAGTTCTAGGAATCAGTGGATTTATAAAGAAAGACAATCAATGTATATATTTATATAAAGGTGCTCAGGTCAGCAGGTCACAGTAACTAGAGGGACAGAGGAACTCATTCTCAAACAATCAGACCTTACTCCATACAACTGTACAACAGTCCACCCTTATGTAATGGATAATCCTATGTACCATCAATCACTATTTCATCTTTGCACTGTTTCTCCTTACGGACCTCTTTAATATAGCTGAGATATATTTGTATTTCAGTATTTTTTTATTTGTGTACCAAACTATTTAATTAGCTGGAAAGCAGGTGTTATTTATTGGAAACCAATTTGTTGAAATGGTCTATCCAAGCCAACATCCAGCCCAAAAAACTTTTAACAACCAATGATCGTAAACGAAATGTAACACCAACATTAACTTTCAAAATCCTCCCTTCCTTTGTTTTGCTCTTAAGAATTTGCTCCAACTTTTGAAAACCGACTATTGTGCGCTGTTACTTGCCAGGATATTGCACAAACTCTGCCAACCGTCTTACAAAACATGCATGCTCCAGTGCACAAATACATTTTTCCTGACTCTTCCAAATCCACACATTTTATCAGTTAGTGCCACTTAAACAGACACCAGATGTAACCGCAAAACAGCACCAACCAGCATTTTATCTCATATGAATTGTGCATAAAATCCATGGAAGATAAGCAGGATATGCAGACCGTGACCATTGTTATACATAGGACATATTCTAGTATTTAACTTGGCATATACGGACATATGATGCACCTAGTTGGGTTTCATAACACAGCTGGAGACTTTTAAGCAGACAGTTTTTAGTTTAGCGGAAATTTAAACATCCAACAATTGATTTGACCAACCTGCCAATGAAAGATAACAGATAATCCAAAAATAAGATTACACCACAAAGTCAATGCATGAATATAAAGATCAAATTAAAACGTACTAAGATTCAGCCTGGCAGCTCCATTCCCATTAACTTGACTTAAACTTAAATTAACTTTTACCAAGAGAACAGTTTCTTCAAGACTTCTTACATTATATTACATTATACATTACAAGCAGAAGTACCGGAAATGTAAGATCCTACCTTTCCAGTCAGAGTTCATACAAAGACAACTATTTATGCAGAAAAAGTTCTGTGAATCAACGTAGTTATATGATTACAGATGAATCATGAGTTCAGTCTGTCTTTTTACATATGAATACCAAATAATCCAAAATCTTCAGTTAACCCACTGTCTTCTTTGTGCTGTTGTCCCATATAAATCCTTTTAATCTAGAAAACTTTACAAGATAGCTTTAATTAGGTAATTAACTTGACTTGAACTTAAATGAACTTTTCCAAGAGAACAGTTTCTTTAAGTCTTCTTCAATCCCCAAAACACATAGACATTATGAGGAATTAGAAATAAGAAGTACCAAAAATGTTAGATTCTACCTTTGTTTCAAGTCGGATAAGTCGTGCACCAATTGTTGGAAATTCTTTGTCTTCTCCCTTTCCTGGTGAAACAAAATACTGAATTACTTACAATGACATTTGTAGGCTCCAAAACACATGCAGTGTAGACTATAAAAAACTCAAAAATGTATTTATTAAAACCTCAACTTGTTTTTTGGGTCACTTTTTACTTACTCAACAACCATGTCACATGATCTCAAATGCATATTCACGGACAAGGCTATTTAAAAGGTATGGCAAATAATCAAACTTTTCTGGTGGTGAGTCGACCCTCTGCCTGTCTCCATGGAGATGTGATTGTGTTATCTAGAATGTCCCATTGTATAGCATTATGTTAATATCTAAAGTTTGAGACATGCATGAGAATATAAGGACAAGTGACTGGTCAGATTTGTGGAGAGACTATTGTGCACAAAATGTATTTTTGAGAAGAAACATGCAAGATAGGATAATTCAATACCATACTGTGGAACATTTCATTCAATATGGACAAGCAATGCAGCAGTAAACATACACATGCTAAGAGGGCGTGTGGCCAGAGATCAGCTCATATTTAGTCTGCAGTGTATGTGTATGTTTGACTCATAAACATAAAGAGGGAGAGATGAGGGGGTTGTGTCTATCAGATCCAGACTGTGGGCTTGTACCTGGGAGAAACATTCCTGGCTTTCCAAGTGTGCCATCCAGCCTGCAAAACAACACAGAGAGATTAGACAGACCACAAGACAAGAGGAGGGGACTGTTGAAAATGTGCTGCTCTTTTGAAGCTTAAAGTAATTGAAATACTTGAGGTGAACTTTATAATAGATTAAGTTTATGTGACTTTTACCACTTGTAATTTCCAAAAGCAGTATACAAGTATTCAATTATTTGAAAACACAATCACTTAAGTCTAGCCTCTTTTTCCTCTTAAAATGCCTTGACAAGACTTAATCCTAAGAACTAAGACTTAAAAGTGCTTAGAACTGTTATTTCTTCATGTAGTCTGCACTGAAATGGAGCAAAGGATCATGGTCTATGTAGTTCCCTCTGTCTTTTTTGCTGCACCGAAAATCTTAATTTAAGCAAAGAAACTTGTAATTCGATATATTGTGATGGTCCACGATATTATTGTGAGAACTTTGACGATACGATATCAAGATATTTCGGTTACTAAAGTCTGTTAAAAACTAAACCTATTTGAGTTTCTAGTATTCCATTGGTTGTACCTTCTTGGTTATTGCAAACGAGTAAACTAGCCTAGCACAACATTAATTAAAATGTAGGTTTTCCTAGATGCTCCTAATTCAATCACAGCACAGAAAAATCTAACTTTCTGGAGGCCCAACTCTGCAAAGCTGCAAACAGTTTTCTCCTGTTTGTTTCCATGGAGATGTTACTGCTCTGTCTGTAATGTTCCACAGAGTAGCATTAAACTAAATATGGAGAAAAGCTGAATGCCATACTCTGGAACATTCCAAGCAAAGCAGTAACATCTCAGGATACAATAAGTTCCCGTATCCTCCACCAGAAAAATTACATAGCGCACCATTGTAATGTTATAATCTAGTGGCCTAACAAGTAAACAATGCTGTTTTCATATATATATATAATTACAATACATCTCTTTCACTAATTATAATAGCTAGCCATCTCATCTGACCTAAACATATTCATGAATGACCTCTATATATTTAAGCCATATGTCTGCAGTCTACAATTTGCTGAATGTTGGGTATGAAGAGTTCACAGTGTATGGTGACCGGGGCATATGGCGAGACAGACAGACTTTTAATAATATCCTAATGATCGGGGGATGCACACTGTTTGAAGTATACAGTTCAGGCTCGGGACACTGGGGTCAAATATGGGCTATAAAAATGTAAACAAATACCTGCCATTGCTAGGGTGATAATGTAAAATGTTAGAAAAAGAGGGGCATGTTCAATATAGTGAAACAAGGAGGGACAAACGCCATGTTCCACCAAGTTCTGATACCTTTGCGTTTTTAAGTGAATCTCACTTTTTAAATAATTCTTGGTTATGAAAAAAATACTAGCCATAGCAATTACAATTCAAAACTAATTATTATATCTTTTAAAATGTGAAAAGTCCTCAAAATGGTCTAAAACCCATGAATGGCATGTGATGATATTAAATGTATTAAGAGCACATAACATTGCACAAAATTATTATCTGAGAACTTTTTCTCACAGACTTCAAGGTATTGTTTTCCATAAAAAACATGTTAAGGAAGTTTCCATATGCTTTATCAAGAAGTAAATGTTTTTAATATATATAGAAGTAGTGACACAGCAATAGTCTGTGAAATATGTTGTTTTTATACAAATATAAAAGCTTTGTTGCAACCACTGGGCATTCCCCTTCTTTTGATGACTGGCATGAAAACAGCATAGCAATAAATCAAGAGGCCATAAAGTCATTGTTCAAAAAAGAAGAACAGTTTTGAAAGAACCAGCACAGAAGAAGTCTGCATACTGATAGACTCTTATTGTTAGAATATAATTTATTTGATTGGTGAAATTATTGCCTCAACACATTTGGTAGACTAGCTTTCCACACCCATTCACTCTCTTAAATAAAGTTAAGTTGTTCTAAACTTCTTCCAGATTAAGCTATTTTATGTCCAAGATTGAATCAATGTGATTCATCCAGTTCCTTATATCTCAAGCAGAGATGGGTAGAAAACATGTACTCAAGTAAGAATATTGTTGCTTAAAGATCATATGACTCCAGTAGAAGTTCAAAGAACTGGTTCAGGAGAGTATAAAAGTAGTCAGGAACTAATACTCAAGCAATAGTTACTGTCTAGATGTAATTTAAAGATTTTAAAAATACCAGATTTTGCACATTTTGTAGTGTTTTGAGTCCAAACCTTTAGAGTAAGCTACTGTTACACTGTAAAAAAAAAAAAAAAAACAAAACGGAAATCTGAAAACTACTTTGAGTGACACAATTTTCTTCTACTCAAGTACTCAAGTCAATGTACTAAATTAAACTAAAAAAGTAATACCCACCACTGGATTTCATGTTATCTTATTCATAAATGTCTAGGTAGCTGAACCAATGTTAATGTGTTTTGATCACTGGAAAACCAAATGAAATATAAAAATATTTTCTTTTTTCTTTTGCCGTCTGTCCAGTCAACCATTTGATTTATGTACAGCGCAATAATGTTTAACCTCTCATATTCAATGTATGTGGCAAAAAACATTGCTCAATCTTGATTCATGCACCTTCTCTGCAGCTCCTTGATGCGGACCATCATGTTGAGGTGGCCCTGGGAATACTGCTCGATCACATCCCTCACATCGTAGGGCTTCCGCGCTTGCTGCCAGTCCACACACAAAAACACACACAAAACACAAACACAAAAGCCATTGTCAGACTGCGCCACTGTTGGCTAGCCCCCCAAAAACATCCCCGGCCCACCCAACCCCCCTCATGGGTGCAAAGGGTTCATTGTTAACCCTACTATGTGTGTGTGTCTGTGTGTGTGTGTGTGTGTGTGTGCGTGTGCATGAAGGAGTGAATAGTGACAAGAGCATGGTCTAGAGAAAGCAATCGTGTTAAGGTCTTTTCACAGCTTTGTTTAGAGTGTGGGTGATACAAGCAGCGTGGTCATGAACCTGTTGAACTCTTTAGGGGTATCTTAGGTATACATAACATAGCCTCCACAGCTGACTTCACTTATGGGCTGTAATTGAAAACACGCCCGGGGCTTGGAAGAGTGTAAGAATATAGAAACCATTTTGGAAAATAGACTGGCATGAAATTACATCTCAAACATGATTATATTTTGGAGTAGAATCCCAAAGGGGGCTCTGCAGGAACGTAAACAAAACAAAACTATTAATAAAACATGTCTATTTTTTGTCAAACTTTTTATTAGCCCTTCATATGTTGCTGCTGCCATCAAATTCAAAATAATCAAATTTATTTTGAAATGGATTTGCTTACTTAAAGATGTACTATGTAACTTTTCTGGAGGAGGGAGATTTTTTATTTTTTTTTTGCCTAGAATGTTCAGTAGTATGGCATTAAATGTATTAATCTCCATGGAGACACTGAATAAAAGCAAGATATATGATGTTAATGCTATACTATGGGACATTTCATGCAATTTCAAGCAATAATATCTCAACCTCCTACCAAAGTTACATTGTGAATCTTTAATTTGTGGATAAAAGTTCAACATATATTGACATGTTTTTCAGTTGCTAACTTCTGCCAAGCCTGTGTCCATATGTCTATTTTTATTGTTCGTGTGTGTGTGTGTTTCGTATGTAGTGAATTCCTACTAGGGCCCAAGAGACTAGTAAAACCCAGATCCCATGATACTAGCACCACTATACGGAGATGGGGAGGCATGCAGGTGCAGGTTACAGGCATTTTCACACAAATATGTACACTATACACACACAATAGCATGAAGAGCAAAACACAGCTGATATGCCTCCTCCCATCCCCCATCCCCCAAAAAACATACCACCACACTCTTCCTGTGTAACTAGCTCAAAACATGTCTGTCTCTGTTTAGCAGCTAGTCTGTTCTTTTTGACCTTTTAACAATTTTCTCACCTGAAATTTCCTCCTGGCCACAAAGTACTGCATACGGCGAAGGACTTTGACTGCTGACCGCTGGGCATGGGACAACCTGGAACAAAGACATAAAAAAAATATATTTAATAAGCTTTGACACAGTACAGCATTAAATTAAAATTGAAATGGTTAAGGGAAATTTTTTTTGTATATGTAATAAAGTATATAAATATTTTTGTCCCTGTAGCTGCTCTAAAGGTCAAAATGAAACTACTGTGTACTGTCTGCATCTAATTCTGAACAGTTTTATCCTCAACAAACCAGGAAGTACACTGTTAGCATGATAGCTATTTTCAGCATTACTGTATCAGCAAATGTCTGTTTTGGCCAATGAAAGTTGTGAAAAGCACTTATAAACTCAACGCTGTGAGTAGATAGGATGCTAAAAATGTATTTTTGTCCACTGCAAACTTTAAAACGAACTAGTTCTGTTTTTTAATGTTTTTAAGACCATAAAAATTGTGTAAAGCCCTTTTTAAACCGATTGGAATAGATTCAGGCAAAACATTTGTTGCTACCATTACATTCAAACTCAATATTTGTGAAATTGTAAAAAGATATCCTTGTGGTAGTGGCATGTTTACTACAGTGAATAGTCTCATTTTCACAATTCTAACTGCATCTGGTTCTGTGTAGTAACTGAGAGGACAACCAGACACCGATTGCATTGAGTTGAGTCCCAAAACACAAGTCCCCTGGCTCCAAGCTGCACATCTGTGTCAACACTGTGTACAGGCCCAATGGTGTGGAGTGAAAGACGAGAGCCACAGCCACTGGAACAACAGTTACTCCATTTAAACTGGAACTGTACTGTGACAAGACTAATGTTGGGTTTCAATACAAAAGACTTACACGTTTTGATGCACAGAAAAGTATTAGATCAAGGTTTAAATAGGCTGTTATGTTGTGCTCCTATAAAACTGGAATTGTACTGTGACAAGACTAATATTAGGTTTCAATTGGAAAGACGTAAAAGTTTTTATGCACAGAAAAATATTAGAACCAGGTTTAAATAGGGCATATTGTACATTGTTACAGCATACTGTTACATAGTGGAGTCATGCACCTCATCTGTAACGCTATATTGAAAAACAGCTCAAATTAAATTGGTGGAAATAAAGAAAAGCTGTTGCACCCGTGAAATGAATAACCAGACTTCCACTCATATTGATTTTAGGGCAAATTTTAATAACAGTTCTAAGATTGATGAGAAAAGATCATTTGATATGGCTTTATTATTTATCAAGATGATATTTTTGGACTGATAAAGAGAGCAGATTTTGATTATTTTCCCAAATTTTTATATAATATGATCCACTGATTCTCTGTAGAGGGACAACAAACAAAAACTTGAACCTCAACTCAAGCTTAATTTAACTAGACACGAAATGGAGCTCTCCCTTCATATGTTAATGTCTCAACTTGGACTTGACTCGAACTGGGGTTTAGTAACTCGGACTTAAACCCAGACTACACTACCCCTTCCCTCTCCTTGCAAAACACCAACGGAGTCAACAAGTCACACTGAAGTCTTAATTAGTCTGAGGGGCAACAAAAGATCTAAACAGACAATGCACTAACATGGAGGGGACCATAAAACGCACACATGAAAGCCATGGGTCTGTCTATAGGAGGAAATGCATACAAACAATACAAAACAAGTGCAGTTAGCCACGTACACCATAGCGCAAGGAGAAAGGAAGTATTTTTTTCAAGTACTACTGAGGTTTGGACATAATTGGGAACGAAAACATATGTAGGAAGCAAAAAAGAAGTGTGGTTTTTGATGGTTGTAGAACTTCCTGACACCACATATGTTCACACAAGAATAACACGGGAGAGATTTAGTCTAACACAAACCCCCGCCTTTTGGTTCCATTAAACATTTGGCGAGCAGAAAGTACAGCAATGGGATTCTTACATCTCTTTGTTGAGGCTGCACTTCAAACGAACACTGGTTTTGAGCTTATACACATGGTTGCTTTCTATATTCAAGGAGCTGTACCTGAATTTGATATATTTTAGTTTAGGAAAATGCCTTTTAGTCTAAGAAGGTATGTTGTAAAAGCAGTTATTTGTGGGGGGGGAATAGACTGAACGCAAATGAAAAACTTTGTAGGATAAAAACCTCATGGAAACAAGATTCCCCTCCTTGAACCGTCACCTTATCGTGGTGGAGGGGTTTGAGTGCTGGGAGCTATGTTGTCGGGGGCTTCATGCCCCTGGTAGGGTCACCCAAGGCAAACAGGTCCGGGGGGACGGGTCAGACGAAGAACGGTTCAGAAGTCCCATATGATGAATGTCCACTCAGAGGCCAGTTACGTCGCCCGAATTGGTGTCACCGGGGCCTCACCCTGGAGCCAGGCCTGGGGTGGGTGCTCGTCAGCGAGCGCCTGGTGGCCGGGCCTTCCCCCATGGGGCCCGGCCGGGCTTAGCCCGAAGGAGCGACGTGGGGCCGTCCTCACCACCACTTGCGGGAGGAGCCATATGGGGCCGGTGCAGAGAGATCTGGGCGGCAGTCGACGGCGGGGGCCTCGACGACCGGATCTCCGGACATGGAGACTAGCTCTGAGGACATGGAATGTCACCTCGCTGGGGGGGAAGGAGCCTGAGCTTGTGCGGGAGGTTGAGCGTTACCGACTAGATATAGTCGGCCTCACCTCCACGCACAGTTTGGGCTCTGGAATCCAACTCCTTGAAAGGGGCTGGACTCTCCATTTCTCTGGCGTTGGCCGCGGGGAGCGGCGGCGGGCTGGTGTGGGCCTGCTCATCGCGCATCGTGTGTTGGAGTTCACCCCGGTGAACGAGAGGGTCGCATCCCTGCGCCTTCGGGTCGGGGACAGGTCTCTCACTGTGGTGTCGGCCTACGGGCCGAACAGCAGTGCTGAGTACCTGGCCTTCTTGGAGTCCTTGGGAGGGGTAGTAGACAGTGCACCGACCGGGGACTCCGTTGTTCTCCTGGGGGACTTCAACGCCCACGTGGGCAACGACAGTGACACTTGGAGGGGGCTGATTGGGAGGAACGGCCTCCCCGATCTGAACCCGAGCGGTGTTTTGTTATTGGACTTCTGTGCTAGTCACGGTTTGTCCATAACGAACACCATGTTCGAGCACAAGGGTGTCCATAAGTGCACGTGGCACCAGGACACCCTAGGCCGGAGGTCGATGATCGACTTGGTAGTCGTGTCATCTGATCTCCGGCCGCGTGTCTTGGACACTCGGGTGAAGAGAGGGGCTGAGCTGTCAACTGATCACCACCTGGTTGTGAGTTGGGTTCGCTGGCGGAGGAGGAAGCCGGAAAGACCTGGCAGGCTCAAGCGTGTAGTGAGGGTCTGTTGGGAACGTCTGGCGGAGCCCTCTGTCAGAGGGACTTTCAACTCGCACCTCCGGGAGGACTTCTCCCAGATTCCGGGGGAGGCTGGAGATATGGAGTCCGAGTGGGCTTCATTCTCGGCCTCTATTGTCGGCTGCTCGGAGCTGTGGGCGTAAGGTCTGCGGTGCCTGTCGCGGCAGCAATCCCCGAACCCGGTGGTGGACACCGGAAGTAAGGGATGCCGTCAAGCTGAAGAAGGAGTCCTATCGGGCCTTGCTGGCTCAGGGGACTCCTGAAGCAGCTGACGGGTACCGGCGGGCCAAGCGTGCTGCAGCCCATGCGGTTGTGGAGGCAAAAACTCGGAGCTGGGAGGAGTTCGGGGAGGCCATGGAGAAGGACTATCGGATGGCCTCAAAGAGATTCTGGCAAACCGTCCGGCGCCGCAGGAGGGGGAAGCAGTTCTTCGCCAACACTGTTTACAGTGCGGGGGGAGAGCTGCTGACCTCGACTGGGGACGTTGTCCAGCGGTGGAAGGAATACTTTGAGGATCTCCTCAATCCCACCGTCACGTCTTCCGAGGAGGAGGCCGAGGCTGGGGACTCGGAGGCGGACTCATCCATCACCCTGGCTGAAGTCACTGAGGTGGTTGGAAAGCTCCTTGGTGGCAAGGCTCCGGGGTTGGGTGAGATCCGTCCTGAGTACCTTCAGTCTCTGGATGTTGTGGGGCTGTCTTGGCTGACACGCCTCTTCAACATCGCGTGGCGGTCGGGGACAGTACCTCTGGACTGGCAAACCGGGGTGGTGGCCCCTCTGTATAAGAAGGGGGACCGGAGGGTGTGCTTCAACTATAGGGGGATTACACTCCTCAGCCTTCTCGGTAAGGTCTATGCCAGGGTACTGGAGAGGAGAATCCGGCCGATAGTCGAACCTCAGATCCAGGAAGAGCAATGTGGTTTTTGTCCTGGCCGTGGAACACTGGACCAGCTCTACACTCTCCATAGGGTGCTCGAGGGTTCATGGGAGTTTGCCCAACCAGTCCACATGTGCTTTGTGGACTTGGAGAAGGCATTCGACCGTGTCCCTCGTGGTGTCCTGTGGGGGGTGCTCTGGGAGTATGGGGTCCGGGGCCCTTTGCTAAGGGCTGTCCGGTCCCTGTATGACCGGAGCAGGAGCTGTGTTCGCATTGCCGGCAGTAAGTCAGACCTGTTCCCGGTGCATGTTGGACTCCGCCAGGGCTGCCCTTTGTCACCGGTTCTGTTCATTGTGTTTATTATGGACAGAATTTCTAGGCGCAGTCAGGGGCCGGAGGGGGTCCGGTTTGGGGACCACAGGATCTCATCTCTGCTGTTTGCAGATGATGTTGTCCTGTTGGCTTCATCGAACCAGGACCTGCAATGTGCACTGGGGCGGTTTGCAGCCGAGTGTGAAGCGGCTGGGATGGAGATCAGCTCTTCTAAGTCTGAGGCCATGGTTCTCGACCGGAAAAAGGTGGCTTGCCCTCTCCGGGTGGGTGGGGAGTCTTTGCCTCAAGTGGAGGAGTTCAAGTATCTCGGGGTCTTGTTCACGAGTGAGGGAAGGACGGAACGTGAGATTGACAGGCGGATCGGTGCAGCTTCGGCAGTGATGCGGTCGCTGTATCGGACCGTTATGGTGAAGAGGGAGCTGAGCCGAAAGGCGAAGCTCTCGATTTACCGGTCAGTCTTCGTTCCTACTCTCACCTATGGTCATGAGCTCTGGGTAGT